CCGACTCATAGCAGACCCTTCGGTGTGTTTTCAGAGGCAGTTTAATCACACAGGAGCAGACTACCCATCTTTCTTCTGTGGAACAGCTGGTGGATTTGAACCTAATACCTTTAGGATGGTAGCCCAGCTCCTTATGACTAGGCCACCAGAGCTCCCTGTATATCTTCCATAATATTTTTTATTTGTGTATAAACTTTTCCTTAACTTCCCTCTTCCTCAGTCAATCACATATAGCTTGTTTCTTATCATTAATTAAAAGATATGATATCTGATTGTATCTGTTCGTGATCAGTTCATTCCACATTGTCCTTCCCTCCACTTATTCCAATAAAGTGTTCATTGTCTGTCCATTCATTGCCTATTCTCATCCCCCGCAACCATATTAGATTGAATCTCTCTGTATACAACTTTCTCTAGTTTTATTACGTGTCTTCAGCATCATCAACAGCTGCAAAGCCAACAAGGAGCAAGAGCAAAAGACACTGAAGAGATACTGAGGCGAGGTATTTCCTGACACAACCCTGAAGATGGAGGAAGAGTCTAGACTATTGAGGGAAGAACTGATTTGGGATTGCTGTGAGATAAGGCATATTGGATGACTGAGAAAACCCAGAGGCTTTTTGTATTTGTGTGCCAGTCTAAACCTGGGAACTTTCACAATGCAGTATCTGTTACCTTCACTCTTCTGTGATAAGCTGTTTCCCTAATAAGCATCACAACTTTTGCAATGAATATTAGACTTGTTGAGCAGTGGAATTAGGTACACCAGCATGGGGGACTATATCTTAGCAAAGGATCAGTTTTTTAAATACTGAATGTTACTGATAGGGACAGTTCCCCCTTGTGGAGTTAGCAGAAGTTAGATTTGGTCATCCCACAATGTCTTTTCTCCTTTTACAGTTGGATAATTTATCAACGGTGGAAGCCATATGGGCTAGAATTTTCCTTATGGACTATCTAATTTCTTAGATTTATACTATTGTGATTTTTTCTAATATATATATATATATAAACAAACTATTTTTTTCTATTTCTTGAGGGAGTACTCATGGCCTAGTGGTAAGTAATTGCAAGAACAATGTAATTGTAAGAACAGTGGACATTGTCTTTCTGTGTAATTTACAGCCTCTGAAAACTCACCAGAGGATTAGCTATGAGTCAGTGGTGTACAACAGCCACAGTAACATTTTTTCTTGTGTCAGTCATTTGGTAATTTTTTAAACAATCTAAGTATCTTAAAGCTTTTTCAAATTATTGTCTCTGTAAGGAATCTTTAAAATTTTTAGGGAGCTCTGGTGGCCTAGTGGTAAGAAACTGCACTGCAGTCCCAAAGACATGAGGTTTCAACCCACGAGCCAGCTTCTCTACAGGATGATAGGCAGTCTCCTGTGCAATATACTACCTCTGAAAACCTGCTGAAGGGGTAGCTGTGGCTCAGTTCTTACTTGGAACCTTTTAGGTGTTTTTAAAAATACCCTGTTCCTATGAAACTCTAGCATTGTATATATCTTTTTGTTTACTGTATTGTGTATCTGGTTATTGACGAATCTCACTCCCATCCCGATGCCACATTCCTCTTCATAGAATTCAGCTTCTCAAATGATTTTCTCAGCATACAGAACAAATAGGTATGGAGAGAGACACACTCTGACCCACTCCCTTCTTAATTTTAAACCATGCAGTGTTCCCCTGCTCTGTTCACACAGTAGACTCCTGGTTCAAGTATAGGTGAAAGTAAGGAGGGCTTGAGACTTGACACACTTGTTGCAAAGGATCAGGAATGCAGCCTTCACTTTGGATTGCATCTCAGTGTTAAGAAAACAAAGATTCTTACCACCAAACCAAAATGCAACGTCATGGTGGATGAAGAAGAGATGGAAACTGTCAACAGCTTCATCTTACTTTGATCCACAATTAACATCCTTGGTACTAGCAATCAGGAAATAAGACGATGCATGGCACTGGGAAAATCTGCAGTTAGAGATCTCTCCAAATTATTGAGGAGTAATTGGATGTCAGTTTGAGGACTAAGGTGTGTCTGATTCAGAGCATAGTCTTTTCGATCACTTACTATGCACCTGAGATCTGGATAATGAATAGGAATGACAGAAGAAGAATTGACACTTTTAAGCTGTGGTGCTGGAGAAGAGCACTGAACATCCCATGAATCGCCAAAAGAACAAATAAATATGTCTTGGAGAGGGTGCAGCCGAGAGTGTTCTTTGGAGGCAAGGATTGTGAGGCTTCTCCTCAAATACTTCAGGTATGTTGCTAGGAGGGGCTATTCCTTGGAGAAGGACATGACGTTGGGAAGGGTGGAGGGCCAGCAAGGAGAGGAAGACCCTCAATCAGGTGAATTGACACGGTGACTGGAGCAGTGGGCTCTAGTGTGTCAGGAAATGTGAGGATGGCTTAGGATAGAACAGGGTTCAGATCCTCTGTTTATAAGGTCGCTATTAGTTATACTTGACTTCACGGCACCTAAAACAACAACAACAACGTATATCTGTGTGTCTTACATGTTGTTGTTGTTAGATGCTGTTCAGTAGAGCATGACTCAGCAACCCTGTGAATAAAAGACCTGAACCTTATTCTGTCCTGCGCTAACCTCACATTTCCAGACACACAGACCATTGCTCCAGTCACTATGTCAATCCACTTGGTTGAGGGTCTTCTCCTTCGCCGACCCTTCACCCTTCCCAGTATCATGTCCTTCTTTAGGGAATAGTCCCCTCCTAGCAACATGCCTGAAGTATGTGAGGTGAAGCGTCATCATCCTTGCCTCCAAAGAGCACTCTGGCTGCACCCTCTCCAAGACATATTTATTTGTTCTTTTGGCACCACAACTCAAAGGCGTCAGTTCTTTTTCTTTCATGCTTATTCATTGTCCAGCTATCAGATGCATAGTAAGTAATTGGAAAGACCTGAGTCAGAAGGATCTTAGTCCTCAAACTAACATCATTACTCCTCAATAATTTGGAGAGATCCCTAACTGCAGATTTTTCCAGTGAAATGAGTCTCTTTATTTCCTGATTGCTGGTACCAAAGATGTTATTGTGGATCCAAGCAAGATGAAGCTCTTCATGGTTTTAGTCTCCTCTCCATCCATCATGATGCTGCCTATCAGTCCAGTGCTAAGAATCTTTATTTTCTAGGTATCAAGATGCAGTCCATACCAAATGCTGTGTTCCTTGATCTTCTGTAATAAGCACTTTAAGTCCTCCTATCTTTCAGAAATCAGTGTTAAGGTGACTACTACCTAAGTCAAATTCACCAGTTGATTTGCTGGAGAAAGATGAGCAATCCCCTTCCATATGATTTACAGTCTCTGAAAATCTTCTGTGAGTTGGTTCTAGCTGGATGGTAATGAGTTGAAGGGTTTTAGGAATTCTGTCAATTTCTGCCAGACCAGTCAGCCTGACTTTATTTTATGTTTTTGAGTTTTGTTCCATATCATCCCTACTCTGTATTGGATTTGGTGGCCCAGTAGTAAGGAGTGCTGCTGTGAACCCAAAGTCCCTCACTTTGAATGCATCAGCTGCTCCTTCCAAGGAATTTACAGCTTCTCTGAATACATTAGAGAGTCAGCTTAGAGATGATCCTGACTAAGAAGCACTTAACAACTTCTCTATAGGATCTACAACTATGGTCAGCAGTGGTAGCTGGGTACCATCTACTTCTTCTGGGCTCAGAGTTGATTCTGACTCATAACAACCCTGCATTTGTCCTTTGAACTAGTTTCAGTACATTTTTCATTTTCTTCCCTCTTTGTTCTGAGCCTGATGAAATTAATAGTTGCATGTTAGATGGCTGTTTGCAAGCCTTTTAGACTCCAGTCTCTACTCACCACAGGTAAGATGTAGAACATTGCTTTTATGGACTATGTTATGAACATTTCTATGATGTCCATCATGACTATGTTCTCAGGGTCCAAGAACCAAGAATGCATTCCCACAGGGTGTTGGATTATAGTTAAAAAAGTTTTCAAAGCATTGGTTCCTGTTTGCTCTACTATATTTATTGGTGGGTATATTTATAACATATACTAATGTAAGTATGGAAGTATCAAATGGTACATTTTTAATATTTGTGCTTTTAGGCATCAGTTATTCTTATTGATTTGATTTTAAATTAATCTACCACTTTAAAAAAATAATCATAGTTCACATTCTTTTATAATGGTTAGTTAGAGTTTCTTTTAAAAATTACTATAAATTCATAATGATTGAATAAAATAGGTTTAAACTTGTTCAGTGTCTATTACTATATTATCCTTGTTTAAGTATTATCACTCCTTTTAATGTCCTTATATATGCTTCTTTTTTTTTTTCCATTTGTGGTTAGTCAGAAAAGGAAATTTTGAAAGTTCAATCCTAAGATTTTTTAGACATGATCTTTGAAGTGTCTGATAGATTTCTTGATAAAAACAATGAGAAATATTCCAGCTCATCTTTTATATTTCATGCTGCAGACTTAGAATCAACTAATCAAACTTAGTTTCTTTTAATAGGAATTGTTGTTTAGGGATTACCTTCTTGTCACTAGGAATAATTTTTTTCCCTATTGCTTAAGTCAGGATTTAGATAGATAGATAGATAGATAGATAGATAGATAGATAGATAGATAGATGAATGTTGATCATAGAGGAAGGAAGTACATAGCAACGAAGCCAAGAGTAGGAGTTAAATCATCTATTTATTCATTCATCAGGTATTTACAGAGCATCTCTCTTTATGCACTAAGGATCCAACAGCAAGAAAAATAATCAGATCTCTTCATGGGATCTTACCGTCTAATTTGGGGTATTTGCTATGCCTTTTACTAGAGATCTTGGACGACACTTTACATTTGGGGTTTTCCTCATTTATACGATAATAATAAGGTTGTGGTATGTACTCTGTAATGTCTTCCGCTGGAAAATTTAATAATTCTATTGCTTGCATTTGTGCTTATTCAATCTTTATGGTGTTCTTACCTTTTCCTGCCCCATCTTTGTGCAGAGATGACAGAAGAAGAACAATTTGCTCTCGCACTCAGAATGAGTGAGCAGGAAGCCAGGGAAGTAAACAGCCAAGAGGAAGAAGAAGAGGAACTCTTGAGGAAAGCCATTGCTGAAAGCCTGAATGTAAATATGCTCTGTTGAAAAATTTGTGGGAATTGATCAACAATTTTACTTCTTGAGCATTTTAATGATATTAGTAAAGACTTAACAGTAGTAGTTAAAAAAATATTTCTAGCTAACAAGTATTTTCCATAATAATTTTAAAGTCAATGTTGATGAATTCATTTTGAATTGTACTAATTCTATGTGAAGCAGTTTTCTTCTACCTTGTAGATTTTTAGCTCATGACATAGATAAGTAGTATTTGGCAGCTTCTGAAAAGAGTTACTGAGTACCAAGAACCTGAAAGCAAGCAAGAAAAAGGTGCCTGTTTCTCCTCCCTCTTTTGTAGGGTGAACAAAGGGAGTGAGAATCAGTGATAGTTATGGAGAAAATGAAGGGGCAGTTTTATCAACTGAATATGTTCAATTAAAATGAATTTAGGTGTGAAGTTACTTGCCAGTGGCAGGTCCTAAACCTCCTCTTGTTCCATTCAACTGTCTGAATTAGGAGAGGATGTAACATAGTACTCTAGCAGAACACTTGGTACATTGTAAATACTCACTACACATTTGTGGAATTTATTTGAGTTGAACCGTATTTATTTTTTTGAGAATAGAAACTACGAGGCACAGTGGCTGCTGCTTTTTGTTCTTCTTGTATCTTTCATGTATTGATATTTCATTAATAAACCTGGTCTGGGGTGGGGTCACCTGTTTCAGAGTTGCCGGCCTCCTGATGTCTCTGCTACCAGCTCTCCACCTCTTGTCATTGGACCAACGCCACAGTCCCACCAAGAGAAAACTACAGACTCTGGAATCACTGAAGGCATGTCTCCCCGTTCTGACATCATCTACTCACAAGTAGTAAGACCATATCGTAGGGATTTTATGCTGAGAATTATTACACAGAAATGCCCCCAATCCCTCTGTGGTATGAAAGGCGTTAAATCAGAAAGTAATTGAGATCTTAAAGATACCCAACATATTTTAACTCCAGGGAAAAAACAACATTTGATTAAACCCATAGAAGAACCTTTCTTACCCTCATATAATCCTAGTGATAGTTTATCAAACCCTCTTAATAAAATCAGTTGTCCTTAGCCCTACTTTTTCTCAAATACTTACAGGCATATGGCAGCTGGCACCTCCATCACTGTTAAAAGGCTCACATATCAGTCAGGGAAACCAGGCTGAGGAAAGAGAGGAGCCTTGGGACCACATTGAACACACTGAAGAGGAGCCGGTCTTTGACAGCTCAGGAAGCGGGGACCAATCAAACCAGCCATTCTTTGAGAACAAGAACATTAAATGTTTTGACACATGCACTGGCCACTTGGCTGAGCACACACGGTGTGGGACGCTCCACGAAAGTACTGGAAGGGGCTGTGCTTTTCTCCAAACTTCCCAGTGTAGGGGTGATACATCTAGGCACTGTCTGCCTACTCCAGCAGATGCCAGCAGTTTCCAGGGCATTGGGGGTACTGTGCATTACTACTGGGGTATTCCATTCTGCCCTGCTGGAGTAGATCCTAACCAGTATACCAAAGTCATTCTCTGCCAACTGGAGGTTTATCAGAAGAGTCTTAAAATGGCTCAAAGGCACCTCCTTAAAAAGAAAGGATTTGGGGAACCAGTACTACCTAGGCCACCTCTGATCAAAAAGGAACGTGGTCGAGGAGGTCAGGGTAGTGAAAGAAGTGAAGGCATCTCAGAAGATATGGGAGATGAAGATAAAGAGGAAAGGCAGGAAGAGTCTAGGGCTTCTGTCTGGCTCTCAAAACCCAAGGATTTCCAAGAAAGCCCAATTAAAAGCTTCAAAGAGAAATTTTTGTTGGAGGAAGAACCAACAACCAGTCATGGTCAGGTAAGGGTCAGTGATACTGTAATGAAGGATGATTTATTCACAGACTAAACAAGAATCATTCTAGCTATGTACTCTTCTTTGGATTGTTCATCCCTGATTGTTAAATATATGCTTACTGTAGGAAAGTACAAAAGAGTATAAAGAAGGAAAACAATTAACTGTAACTCCATCACCAAGTGGAAGTCATCCTTATTTTGAGTATGCCTTTCAGATTTCAAATGTGAATGTTTTCTAATACAAATAAAAAGATATCGTACTTTTTGATTTTTAAACTAAATGAAAATGCTGTGGCATAAACTATGTTTTCTTTTCCTTACATGCTGGTTATCTTAGATATTTTCATAGTTATTATGTATACTTGACATTATTCTGTCATGTGAATGTATCATAATTTTTTTTAGTTTCTAAATATTAATTTTTTAAGTAGGTAATATGGTAATGTGGCTCACAATTTAAAAAATTAAAAATGAAAAGCTAGTTTGCATTGGAGGCAGTAGTGCCTCCTAATAAGGTATTTTATGTAGCATTAGTAAATGTATTCTTTTCTCCTGTCTTATTTTGCCCTAAGATAATACTATACACATGCTGTCATTTTCTTAATTTAATGTTTCTGTGAAATAATTCTATAATTACGTGAAAAACTCAAGTTTTTTGTCAGATATTTAATATATTGTGTATAGATAAGTCATAGTTAATTTTATCTAGTGCTCTCTTGATAAATACTTAGGTTCTTTCCAGTAGTTCATTATTAAAATAATGCTACAGTGACCTTCGACAGAGATTAGTTTACACACATAGGGGATATTTGTGGATGTTGTTTACATGCCATCGAGTTGATAGCAACCCTGTGAGGAACAAATCTGAACCTGGCCCTATCCTGTGCCGTCCTCATGATCTGTGGTATCTTAGGCCCATTGTTACAGTCACTTTATTATTAGTCTACTTGTTTAGGGTCTTTCACTCTTTTTCTGACCCTCTGCCTTTCACAGTATAATGTCTTTTTCCAGTAACTAGCCCCTTCTGCCAACATGCTCAAAATATTTGAGACAGAGGTTCACCATCCTTGCCTCCCAGGAAACACCCTGGCTGTACTTCCTCCAAGAAAGACATGGTTGTTCTTTTGGAAGTCCATGGGGTATTCATTGCTCTTGTCCAGCACCACAATTCAAAAGCATAGATATTCTTCTGTCCTCCTTCATTGTCCAGCTTGTAGATGCGTAGGAAGCAATTGAAAATACCAAGGCTTGGATCAGGTGCACCTTAATTCTTAAGCTGACATTGTTGCTTTCTCGAATTTTGATGACAGAGGATTTCCCAAATTCAACACCTCTTTTGACTTCTTGACTGCTTCTACCATGCTGTTGTTTATTGATCCAAGTAAGATGAAATTGTTAACAACTTCAGTTTCTTTTCCATCTATTGTGATGTTACTGATAGACCCATTGATGAGGATTTTTTTTTCTTGATTTTGAGATATAACCTGTATCAAAAGCTATAGAGATTCTACTATCATTTGATAGTCATTGATGACATTATGTTGTTTTTAGATGCCATCAAGTCACATACAACTCATAGTGACTCTGTGAACAACTGATCTGAATCCTGTCCTGTGCCATTCTCATCATTTCTGACATAGTTGATCTCATTGCTACAGTCACTTTGTCACTCTATCCATTGAGGATCTTGCTTTGTTTCACTGACCCTCTACCTTTACAAGCATATTTGTGGATAATTTCCTAGTAATGGAATTGCTTTATCAAAGGATTTTGAATTTGATTTGTTATTGCCAAATTACCATCCATAGAGGTTTTATAAGTTTACACTCCTACCTTGAATGTATGACTGACAGTTTCCCTATGCTACATTATACTTCTTGATGATTGCCAGTATAGAGATGAAATATGCTATCTTAGTGTAGTCTTCATGTGCTTTCTCTTAGCATGTGTCAAGAATGCTGGTGGTGCTATAGCTGTGACATTTGACTGCTAACTAAAAGGTCAAACCCACCATCTATTCATTGGGAGAAAGCCTTATAACCTTGGAAACCCTGTAAGGCAGTATTACTCAGTTCTACAGGCTAGTTGCTCTTGAGTTGGAACTGACTCATAGCTGACCCCCACAGTTGATATTTAGAGGCAGTAAATCACAGGAGAGGAGATTGCCCACCTTTCTCCTGTGGAGCAGCTGGTGGATTCGATCTTCATGCTTTTGGTGGATTCAGTTTGCATGCTTTTAGGATTGTAATACAGCTTCTTACCTCTAAGCCACCAGAGCTCCCTACAGCTAGTTATGGTTGGGAATTGACTTGTATAAAATTTTTCTTTATTTGAAATTAATTTTAGAGATGTTGTTGTTGTTGTTATGTGCCGTCGGGTCACGTGTGACTCTTAGCAACCCTATGCACAAGAGCCCTAAACTCTGCTCTATCCTGTGCCAAACTCACTATCTCCAACACACCTACTCCCATTACCCTACTCACTGAATCGATCCATCTCATTGAGGGTCTTCCTCTCTTTCACTGTTCCTCCACCTTCCCAAACATGATATTCCTCTCCAAGGACTGGTCCCTCCTTGCAACATGCCCAAAGTATGCAGATGAAACTTCAGAATCCCTGGCTCCAAGGAGAAGCCCGGTTTCACCCTCTCCAGGAAAAACCTGTTTGATCAAATCCACAGAAACCACAATTTGACCTTAAGTCTTTCCCACTTGAATTTTAAAACCGTCTCAGGAACAGGTTTGAAGCCTTGAACACCAGTGAACGAAGATCAAATGAGCTGTGGGAGGATATCAAGAATATCAGCCATGAAGAATGCAAGAGATCATTACAAAGGCAGAAGAGGAAGAAAAGACCAAGATGGAGGCAGATGAGACTCTGAATATTGTATTCGAGCGCCGAGAAGCCAATGCTCAAGGAGGAAATCAGGAAATTAAAGAGCTGAACAGAAAATTTCAAAGGGCAGCTTGGGATGACAAAGCAAGGTATTATAATGAAATGTGTAAAGAGCTGGAATCAGAAAATCAAAAGGGCCGAACTCACTCAGCATTTCTTAAGCTGAAGTATTTGAAAAACAAATTCAAGCCATGAGTGGCAATACTTAAGGATGCTTTGGGAAGAATGTTAAATGATCCAAAAAGCATTAAAAGAAAATGGAAGGAGTATGTTAGAGATAGACATAGACAGTGTTCAAGAATTAAAAACATTTTTTTAATCACTACTATTGGTCAAATTGTCTTTCAGAAAAGTTTTTCAAATTTGTATCATTTTGACTAGCAATGTATGAATCAGATTATCTGGTTTACTGCAGCCTTTTCAGTGTAGAATATCTTTTAAAACCAAAACAAACTGAATTTGTTAAACTGTATGGCTAAAGAACAGAAACCTTACAGCTATAGTTTTAAATCTTGATCTTTTGCTTTCAGGAACTGAGGATGGTAGAATTTTTTATTTGTTTTTTAATTTTTTTTTCTCTCCATTCACATTGTGTGAGGTACGTGGTAGAAATTTATATGCTTAGTTTGTTAAACATTTTCTCTTGGACATGACTACCTTTGAAACTTCTTGGTTGGTAAAAATAGCATGAGAATCCAGAAACAGGAACTTTGAAAAACATTAACCTTGTGGCAGGTGACTTAGTCTATGTGGTGAGAATAGAACTTTAAAATGAGATAAGGAGGATTTTTAGTACTACAGAGAAAAAGTGGAGTTTTTAAAAGAAGTGAACAGGGCTTCATGACTGGAAGATGGAGGGGAGGTAGTACATTGATGTGAATACTGCTTTTGGGGAAAAAAGTCTTTACTTTCTCAAAAATCCCAATTTCTGAATTTGTTATTCAGAAATGACTGCATTTTATGCACTTGTGCAGATTTTACTAACCAAACTTGAAGCTGATATGTATGCCAAATGCCAGTTTGAGTAGTCTCCTCTAATTAGGATTTATTGCCTTGAAAACCCAATAGAGTTAGAATCAGCTTGATGACAGTGGGTAAGTGAAGGCTTTTAAGAATATGAAAGGAGTTAATTCATATAAAGTGATTAGCATGGCACTAGGACATAATAATTGCATGGCTTTTATTTTTTTAAAGAACTACAGTAGGAACAGAGGATATACTTACCCCAAGATAAAAACCCACCATCCTTGCACTTCCTCCAAGACAGATCTTTTTGTTCTTTTGGCAGTCCATGGGATATTCAGTACTCTTCCAACACCATAGCTCAAAGGTGTCAGTTTTCTACAATAAGGTAGATAACCACTGAAAATCAAACCAATAACACCTACCACTATCCAATAAGCTCTGACTCATAGTGACCTAACCCACCATTGGATTTCCTTTATGGGAGGATTCTGCCCCTAAGCAGCAACTGGTGAATTTGAATTGCTGACCTTTCGGTTAACAGGTCAGTTCATTTTGTATTCTATATTATTAGGGCTCCTCCATTGTAGAGAGAAGTGTTTTATATATAATCTGTTGGTGCCTAGATTGCTTCTGACATCCAAGATTAGTCAGCTAGCCATTCCAAAAAGGTCATATGCTATTGAATGGACACTAGGTGTCAGTATCATTTTAAGTTTTTTGAACTGTCAGGCCTAAAACAATGTCATTGCCAATTCAAGCAAATTGTGGTCAAATGAAGTATTTATTGGTGTTATATTTTAGTACTTTTGACAGTTCAGGTCTCATTTTTCATAAGACTAGATTTCCAATTATTATAAAATACTATCTTTCCTTTTACTGAAGGTTCAACTAAGCAATTCCTGTTTTTAGTATATTTCATCATTTACCATAGTAGCAGATGTTTAACTTGTTTCGGTTATTTATAACATTTTGGAAGAGATTGTAAACTTCAGTCAACAGCTTTACCACAACTGGAAGAGACTCAGTAGTCCTAGCACTTTCTCAGTATGCCTATATGGAATAAATTGACATTTATACCAAATCTATCATTAATCAAATAACCTTTTTCTTCTTCTGTCCTTACTTGTTTTTCTTCATAATTGCCTTGCAGACCTGATACCATAACTATACTGACATACTGTAGCAAAAGGAATATTTATAATACCTCCTTTTTTGAGATGACCTTATGCTTTTTTTATGTAGTGTTAGCTAAGTGTTTCCACTGAAATTTGGAACTTTTTCTGTCTCTATATCAGAAATCTTGTAATTGTTTTCTGAAATTTTATCTTATCAAGTAGTATTGATACAGATTTTTCTTAAATTTATAAATTGTATTGCATATATTATCTTGCTTAATTCTTATAGTACCATTCTGTGAAGCAATAGTAATAAGTACCATTTTAAGATGAAGGAACAGATTCAGAGTCAGGTTACCCCAAATTACAAACTTAGTAGATAAGCTGAAATTGAAAGCCTAGACATCTGACTCCACAAGTCCTATATGCTCTATTTATTGGAACTTATGTAAAATGTTTTATTCTTACAGCTAATTGCTGAGTAGAATATTAAAAATGCTTTTAAAAAACATTTTAAAGAAGAGAAACCTACTCATATGTGCCTATATATTTAGGATGTTACTTTTTTATTTTTCAGTCTTCCCAAGGTCTGTTTGTCAAAGAAACTTCTGAAGAAGAAAACTCTGTACCTGCCTCTCAGAGGTGAGACTATATGTTGTTATGGATAGGAATTCTTCTCTAATGGTATAGAATATGGGAGATTAACTACCTGAGTAAGACAGTTTGCCAGGAGCTTTTAGCTCCTTTGTACACTCAGAAAATGAGGAATCATTATCTACCAGTTCTTAAATGTGCATCTCATAGAAGCTTAAAATATTAGGTCTAAAACAAATCTGAGAGGATTTTCCACTTACACTCTTTCTGTAAAGTGGTTACATTCAGATCCTCTCTTACTTAACTAATTATACTACCTTGCCAATTTGAGGACTGTCTTTTTGACCTAATGTTATTTTTCTTCATGTTCTTTCTGCGTGTGCTTATTTTCTTTGACTATCTAAACAATATACTCTTTTAAGTGTACTCTTAAGACTTAAATCATCTCAAAGCCTTGACATTATTTAGGCCACATCAAATCCATGTCACTTGCATGCTCAGTTGTACAACTTGCTTTTTTGTAGATGCCTTCCTTCCTTTATTGTTTTTTAAAGTAAAAATCTGTACCTTGCATATGACATAAATCTTTTCTAATGGAATAAATTATTCTGAAAAGGTGCTTTGAAAAATGTGTTTGTTAGCAAAACATGTCAATTGGTGGCTCTTTCTTTTTTTCCCCTTCTTTTCCCCTTCTTTTTTTGGGTACCATTGAGTTGAATTTGACTGTCACAGGAGGAGATTGCTGCTCCTTCTCCAGCAGAGGATCTGGTGGATTCGAACTACACACCCCCTGGATTGCAGTGCAGCTTCTTTGCCACTAGGCCACCAGAGCTCCCTGTGGTATCTCTTCTATCGTCACTGTCTTCAACATAGTTTAAACTTTTTCCTTCATCACCATTGGCTCTTGTTCATATGGTACTTTTGAAATACTTCAGTGTCAGTTCTTTTTGGCACAGTGATTCTGTACATTCCTTCTATCTTTTGCTACTTCCTGGATCAATCAAGATTTTGTCCATAGCATCTCTCAATGTTGCAACTCAAGGCTGGAAATTGTTTTTTAATTCTTTCAGTTTGAGAAATGCTGAGCAAGTTCTTCCCTCTTTATTCTCTGACTTTAGCTCTTTGCATATTGTTATAATATTTGGTTTTGTCTTCTCTAGCTGCCCGTTGAAATCTTCTTTTTACCTCTTTGGCATCTCTTCTCTTTGTCTTGGCTTCATGATGCTCTAATGCAATTTTCATTGTTTCTTTTGACATCCATTTTAGTTTTTTTTCTTTGTAATAACCTTTTGCTCTCTTCACATATGATATCCTTGATTTCATCCCATGATCTCTTCTGATTATTAGTGATCAATGCAATGCCTGTCCTGAAGATGAGTTTTGAATTTAGTTGGGATAGACTCAAGGTTATATTTTGGTTCTTGTGGATTTGTTTTAATCTTGTTCAGTATCAGTTTGAACTTGTTCAGTTTGAAATTGCACTTGACTCAATGGAACCTAACAAGAATAAGATACATACTTTGCATTCTTTAGCTCTTTTAATTCTCATACTATTGCTTTAGTATTGTTATTGTTAGGTGCTATTGAATTGATTATGATACATAGCAACCCTATAAACAACAGATCTGAACCCTGTCCTATCCTCTGCCATCTTCATCATCTCTGACATGCTTGAACCCATTGCTGCAGTTTCTGCATCAGTTCATTTCATTGAGAATCTTCCTCTTTCGCAGACTCCTCACCTTTCCAAGTAAAATGTCCCTCTCCAAGGAAAAGCCTCTCCTAGCAAGATGACCTAGTGGTAAGAAGCCGTGCTGCAGTCCCAAAGGCACTCAGTTTGAATCCACCAACTGCTCTGTAGGAGAAGGATGGGCAGTCTCCTCCTGTGCAATTAACTTCCTCTGAAAGCCTGAACTGATGGCATACAACAGCAGCAGTATATTAAAAATATGTGAGACAGTTCTTTGTCATTTTTGCCACCAAGGAACATTCTGGCTACACTTTTCCCAAATCATATCTGTTTGTTCTTTTGACAATCCATGGGATGTTTCAGTACTCTTTTCCAGTACCACAGCTCAATAGCATCAATTCTTCTGTCATCCTTATTCATTGTGCAACTCTCAGATGCATAGCAGTTGATAAAAAAGACTATGGGCCGAATCAGGTGCACTTGAATGGCAGAATAGGGAAGTCTGTTCCCTTCCAGAAACCACATCTTAGCCTGGCCCAGCCTGGCCCGCCTCTTCCCTTTGAGCTTAAGGGATCCCACATGGTGTAGCTAGACAGCAGTGTTTCACCCGTTGTACCTGTGATATTGGTGTTCCTGGTGCTGGACAGCAGGGTTTGCAGCTGGGTGGTCCCGATGTGGCAGGGGCAGTGATCTAGTGCTCTAGGCAGGATTGTGGTTTGGGCCACATTGAAACTGCAGCTCCTCAACCTGGCAGGCTATGGTTCTGTTGCCGGCCAGCGTATCAGTGCACCTGGGCTGAGCTGCAGCTTTTACCAGATACCAGGGAAGAGGTGGCTGGAAGACGCTCTCAGGCTGGCCATGCCACACATCTTGCAGCAGAGCAATGGTAAGGTCTCAAACACGTCTTGTGAGTGCCTCTTGTTCAACTTTTAATCTAATGATATCGTAACTTTCTCACCACTAGTTGCATTACTTCCTCAGTTACCTGTTTTCCCCCTCTCATTTTCAGTTACTCTTGCTGTTTGATGAGGTTACCTTCTCAAGTTTTCTCACTTTAATAATGGATAGTAGTTAGTTGGTTACAAATTGTACTATTTACTGAATTCCGGTGTTTTCCCATCTTATCTTATAGTTGACCTTGTTGACCTTTAGGAATTTCTTAAAAATGTAATTTTATATTGAGTGACTGTCATCTTCCATATAAAAGTGAGGCACAGTTACTATCTGGTATAATTTAGATAATGGTTTTAGGTTTAGTTAATAGGATTTGGTATTTCTTCCTAAGCTAAAGAATATGACTTTGGTTTGATTTTCCTACTGTCAACAGAATTTTGGAAGTGACTTCAACTAGAATAGTTCTGCTTCTTGCAGACCTCTCTGCTTTATTTTGATGAACTCTACAGAGCAGATGTCCATTTTATAGTAAATGATTATGTCCTCTGACACCAAGAGGTAATTGGAATCACAGGTAATGCAGTTCAATTTCAAATTGACTAGCTCATTTTATAATTGTCAGCTAATTGTTTTGTGATGAACTTTTTGAATAGATCTCTAATGTTACATACAGAATAAAAACCTCTCGTTTGGGTTTATAATCCATTGAGGTGTTTTCTTTAGAGAGAAAATCACTTGTGGTTTCCTATCAGGACTTAGTTATTTTTCATAAATCATTAACAGCTACTTGCTTTTCTCTGTGGCTGTAGGTCAATGTGAGGATTTTTGTTTTTAAATGTTCTCTTGCACACTTGATCAAATTAATTGTAAAGCTCTATGAAGCATAAGGGGGCTAATGGAAATGCTTAGGTCTCATAGCCGTGTACTTCTGTGTCAAACAGGGATTGCTCTCTGAGCAAAGCAGGGAAACCAGAGATCAGATGAGAGAAGCCATTCATTATGAAATTTAGAGATTTAGCTTGTGTGGGCAAATTTTTACAATAGGGGAGCTTGAAATTTTGTTGCTTAGAAAGCTACATCTTTAGATAAAGAGAAAATTTAACTGTAAAATGGGTGGGGGGAAAGCTGATGTGTTGTCAGAAGAAATCTCCATGTTCTCTCTTATGAGTTTACAAATTTTAAGTCTTCAGAAGGCTGAGCTTGAGGCCATAATACATTTTTGAGATCCTTATAATGGATTGAAGGTTTTGTCTTCTGTGATATTCACAGATAATCCTTACCCTTCAACCTTCCTTTGTGAAGACTCAAAAAAAGGGATCTTTTCATTCAGAGATTTCAATGGGACTGAAATTGTAAGCATGTTTATTTTCCCTAATTTCTGGCCTAGAGTTTTCACTACTGATTCCTTGCTTCCCTGTTGTGCTTTTGTGGTTTTTGACAGCAGGTATCAGATTACCTGTAGCTTTGTGAATGACTCACCATTACTTTTCAGCCCTGTGTTCTGATTTCTTTTACTAGGAATTCACTTGGAATTTTTTTTCCCCCCTTCAGCATTGCTACTTTGACTAGTAAGAGAAGCTCAGTCGTTATGCCAGAGAGTTCTGCAGAAGAAATCACTGTTTGCCCTGGTAAGCACTTCACTGTGATTTTACTAATAGCCAGCTATATATTTCTCTATACCTATTATAGGAGCTCTGATGGCCTAGTGGATAAGAAGTTGTGCTGCCAACCCAGAGAAAGATGGTTTGGATCCACCAACTACTTCTCAGGAGAAAGATGAACAGTCTCCTTCCATGTGATTTATAACCTCCGAAAACTTTCTGTGAAGGATCACCTATGAATTGGTTCCAACTCAATGGCACATAACAACTAGTGCCCTAGTCTATAGGGAGTTATATTTGTAACTCAAAGATGAGGCCATTCTGGTGGTTTGAATTTACCCACTGCTCTGCAGAAGATGGGCAGTCTCTTCCAATGTGATTTGCAGCTTGAGAAAACCTACTGGGTCTGCTCTGAGTCAGTTCCAACTCCATGGCATTGAGTTGAGTTGATAACTATTAATTTTCCAGACAACTTTGAGGTTTATATGTGTCTGCATTGTTTATTCATAAATACTACACACTTATTAATACATACCTATGTGCACACACACATACACATTTTTTTTAAATGAGCTCTCAATTTGATTTTTGTTTTGGAATAAACATAATACTTCTGTTTGGTTATCAGAAATGATAGGGAAGTTTCTAGAATATCACTTATTAACATCATTTTCCAATCTGAGATAACTTGATGTTTTAGTTTCTTAGTCTAGGATAGAGCAGAGTTTGGATCTGTCGTACACAGGGTCACTCTAAGTCACAGGTAATTAGATGGTACATAACAACAACATCCTCAAATCTACTTGTTTTTTAGGCAGATTTTTTTGCAAACCTTAGTTTGATTTTTTTTTATTTTTTTCATTTTTATTTTATATTGGTTTGCTTAAAAAGTTTGTATACATTGTGTTTCACACTATTCTTCATTCACATTGTATTTCATACAATCATTCCCATTTATTATGTTTTATAAAATTAATCACCATATATGATGCTTGCCAGAACCCTGTCTTTCCAGATTCCCACTGGATCTTTCCCATTTTCTTTATCCCGTCTTCCCTCCACTTATCAGATTGTGCGACCCTCTGATTTCCCTTCTGCCCGTCAATGCTTTGCTCCTACCCTCCTCTTTCCTCCTCTTGGATCCACATACACATTTTATTAGTTATCTTTCTATTTCTACAATAATGGTCTTATACAATATTTGTCCTTATGAGACTGTGTTACTTCACTTAATCATTTTTGAAACTGTTGCCCCAGTGTGCTGCATAGTATTCAATCATGTGAAAGTACCACAATTTCTCAGTCCATTTTATTGTGATTGGAGATTGTAGAGATGAAAAGACATGTATACTTTGCTTTGTGCACAAGAAATGATCATACAGAAGTTGCCCTTGGATACATTTAGATATATAAAATAGTTTACTTGGAAGGTTTTTTTCCTAGTCAATGGTTGTTGTGTGCCATCAGGTTGGAACTAACACATAGCTGGCCTTCCAGTGAGTTTTTGGAGGTAGTTAATCACACAGGAAGAGATTGTGCATCCTGCTCCTGTGGAACAGCTGGTGGTAGATATATAAAATAGTTCTGAAGAAACTAAGATGCAAATTAAGATAATTCTCAAGTTGAAGTGCATAATATGAAGGATTGTTTTATGATATAAGCCACTAATCTCTAAGGAATTTGTTTTCATTTATATTTTTTAATTTACTTTCCTCAAATGGGTCCCTTTATATTTTTCAGTGATTGTGCAGTTGAGAGAATTTCTATTAATGTTTAAATTCTTTAGATAGCAAATTTTACTGTAGTCATTCTGTGCTATCTGTAACTCATAGCTAACCTTCCAGAGGCTGTAAATAACACTTGAGGAGATTGCCCAACTTCTTTATCTCATGGAGCAACTGGTAGATTTGAACCACAGGCCTTTGTGTTGGTTCTACTCCTTACTTCCTAGGCATCTACAAGTCATTATTATGATATACTTTCCCTCAGGTCTGATATAGCCTGTGAGAGTCATAGAGAATTACATTTCTCTTATTTTGGTTTCTTTTTAAAAGTTTTTCTTCAAGAGACACATTTAATTTTCATGTAATGTAGGGAAGTTCTGTCTTTTAACATTTTATAGCATGTTCAAGATTTCTATTTCTATTTTAACTATGTTGATTTTTATTGTAAGTGGTTTCCTAATTCATTTCAAATGTATTTGGATTACTGCCTAATGATATCACTAAGAGATTCTACTTGTCAGGAGCTCTCAAAACTGCTGTGCTGTATTTGAAAAGAAAGCCTTCCCCTTCTCTGTCTGGGACTGTTCACTCACACGTCCTGCTGGGAAGTAACTTAGTTTATCTCTTTTGGACGATTGCATGTGATGTCATTATGTGATCTTACAGGAAGAACTTGCAAATACAGTGATCCTGAAAGCCCTAGTTAATGAAAGGAAAAAAGCAAGCCCTTCATGACTGTGGTTCTATAACTTTTATGATCATGACTTACTGTCGTTAGCCTGGTAATTAAGTCCCACTGTTTGCTGACATAAACTACATCTAAAAGAATTTGCAAAAGGTTTCTTTAACATTAGTGTTCCTGTGCTAAGAAAGTGTAACTTCTTGGAGCCAACACTTTAGCGTTTTTTAGGTATACATTTTAGGAACTGTGTATCTAAATTGTCTATAGAGATTTTGTTTTAAGTGGTTAAAACAGAAATTGAATATAATATTGCCTGTTATGTATGTTACCATGTTTCTTTTGTCTCATATTTCATACATTTCTAGGGTTCTGATACTCAAAGTTGTACCATTTTTAAATTGTTGTTCACTTTACTTAGGAAGCAGGATTACATATGGCCTTATGCCAACACTGTGTATGCTGCTAGCATTGGTTATTTTTCTAGCTTGAAAGAAATGAAGACAAGGTGCTCTTTAAAGGCAAAGATGTTGAGATGTTGTCTCAAATACTTTTGGCATGGTATCAGGTGTGGCCAGTCCTTGGAAAAGCACATCATGCTTAGAATGTTGAGGAGGGTCAGCAAAGGAGAGGAAGACTCTGAAGGGGATGGATTGACAGTATTTACAACAGTGGACTGAAGCACAGTGGAGATTGCTAATATAACATAGGATCAGACAGACTTTCAGTCTGCTGTACATAAGGTTACTATGAGTCAGAGTTAACTTGATAGCACCTAACAATAGTGGTTAAAGTACACATCTGTTAACTGAAAGGCTGGTTGTTTGAACCCATCAGCTGATGGTAAGAGAAATATGTGGCACCCTCATTCCAGAAAGATTTACAGTGTTAGACCCCTCTGACTCAGTTTTGCTCTGTACTGCAGGGTCACAATAAGATGGAATTAACTTGATATACAGTAGATTTAGTTTTGGTAATGTGCTCATAGGTTGTCTTTATAGTTGAGCATTTTGGCCATCCAACACTCACTCACCCACTTCCTCATTCCGTTACTCATTGCCTTTGAGTAAAAACTAACTTAATCTGACAGTCCAATGGGTTTTCTGAGGCTGTAAATTGCATGAGAAGAGCTTGTCCATCTTTCTACTGTGAAGTAGCTGGGGAATTTGAATCACTCATCTTTGTGTTGGCAGTGCAGTTCCCTACCACTAGGCCCCCAAAGCTCCATCCATAGAAAACAGTTTTAATATTTAAAAAAATTTTTTTAATTGCAGTAATCAAAGCAATGAACAGTTCTTGTTTAAACTGAATGACTCTTTTTGATAGTCTCTCTTAAGAAAACTCGACAAAGAAAATTTAGAGTTATATACATTATAAGTTTTTCTAACAAGGTGATGAACTATCAATGTATGTATCTAGTTTTAAAAATAATTATAATGTATTGGAATACAGTTAATATTGGAAAATATTTGATTTTTTTTTATTTAGAAGATTGCTCAGTATCTGTAGGTACTTAATTTCCCTAACTTCCATTATTTTATTTGTGAAGTTCAAAAGTATGTGTTAGAGGTACAGTAAGTTCATTGCCAACTGACTGAACTTACTGGATTTATGTTTGAGATATATTATTCCAGATATATTGCCCTTCTTTGAAATGCAGCTTCTGGTTTTTCACTTTATTATGTTATAGTGACTTCCTCTATTCTATAGGCTAGGAGCAAGCAAACTTCCATAAAGGAGCAAATAATAAATATTTTAAGCTTTGTAGGTTATAAAGTCTCTGTTGGCAATAACTCTATTATAAGTAGTATAAAAGTAGCCACAAACAATGTATAATGAATGAGCCTGGTGGTGTTCCATTAAAACTTTATTTATGGTTGGGGAAAGAAACAAAACAAAACCTTATTTACAAAACTGGCAACTGACTAAATTTGGCCCATGAGCTACAGTTTGAATACTCCTAGACAGTGTATCTTATGTTTTCATGTTGTCAGTAGCTAGTATAGTATATGAACTTGTTATTTTGTAATTGTTGAATTGATGTTGAATGAATAGATTCTGCCTAAAGAATATTTTAAAGAAGGGCACATTTTATCTAGAATGTATTTTCTATTTTTGCTCTTAATTTCTCTAATCACCTCAGTACTAACATTAATGGGGCTTTACTTTCTGTTAAAAGAAATACATTAAAATGCTGGAACTAACCCATTCTTGTAGAGTTTATTGTGATATCAACTCTATAGGAGAAAAATGAATAACCTCCTAGGATTCTTAAAGGTTTTTAGAGAAGCAGACTGCTACACTTTTCTCTCATAGATTGACTGATGGGCTCAAACTGTTAACATTTCAGTTATTTACTAAGCTCTTAATAATTGCAGCACCAACCCTTCTAAGCCAAAATGATGATGGAAATAAACCAAATGAATCAACTGGTGAATGGATAAAGAAATTGTGGTATGTCCATACAATGGAATACTACTCTACAATACAAAGGAAGAACCTCTGCACTAGTACATGGAAACAACATAGATGTGTTTCAGAGGCACTGTGTTAAATGAAAGCAAAACAGAATATATATGATTCCATTTATAACATTCTAGAAATAACAAAACTCGAGGGTTGCAAGACTTTTTAAAGCAAGAGGTCATGTGAGAGGTAATAGGCTGCGAATGGATATGAGAGAACTTTCTAGGAATGCTGGAAGTGGTTTTTACATACATTATGATACTTGTTATATTATTTTTTATGTTTAAATTTTTAAATGATTATTAATTTTAGTGAAAATTTACAGAGATTTTGGATTTCCATTCATTCCCTGTTGTACTTTTCTCCCTGCCACCCCCACCCTCGCCCCAGTACACTCTTCTCTTTGAAAAGTAAAAGAAAACTTCTTTCGTTGTTTTACAATCCTTTCCAGGCCCATTCCACTATGCAGACTTCGTTCTGGACTCCTGTCATGGCAATAATACCTAATTACATATCCCTTTTAAACAGTTTTCTCCCTCATCTGTTTCAATGCAGTATACATTATTTATCCCATCTTTTTCAGTCTCCACCCAACCCTGAGGTCAGTCCTGTTTTACAACAGTGGAACTATGCAGTATTTGCCCATTTGCGACTGAGATATTTCACTCAGCTTAATGTCTTCCAGGGTTACCCATTTTGAATAATATTGCATGAGTGCCTTGTTTTTCAATGCAGTGTAGTATTCCATTGTGTGAATATACCACAGCTTCTCTATCTGTTCGTTTGTTGATGGGCACTTAGATTGTTTCCAACTCCTTGTTAATGTGAACAAAGCTGTGATAAACATGGGTGTGCATATATCTGCTTGGGTGGCAGTTATGGTCTCTTTGGGATATATTCCCAATAGTGGAATTGTTGGGTCAAATGGTATCTCTATTTGCAACTTTTTGAGAAAGCACCACACCACCTTCCACAGTGGTTGTACCATTTTACACTCCCACCAACAGTGAATAAGGGTTCCAGTTTCTCCACAACCTCGCCAGCATTTGTTGCTTGCTGTTCTGTTAAATTTTGCTATTCTGACTGGGGTGAGATGATATCTCATAGTTGTTTTGATTTGCATCTCTCTTAAAGCTAGGGATTTTGAACATTTCTTCATGTACTCATTGGTCATCTGAACGTAGTCTTTGGTGAGTGTTCATATCCTGTGCCCATTGGATTGTTTACCTTTATCTTGTTGTGCTGCTCAAGTATTTTCTAAATTCTAGATATAAGTCCCATATCTATTATGTCATTACCAAATACTTTTTTCCCCAGTCTGTGGCTTTCCTTTTTACCCTGTTGGAGAAGTTTTTGGATGTGCATAGGGATTTGATTCTTAGAAGGTCCCATTCATCTATTTTCTCTTCTCCTGGTTGTAGATTTTTCAGGATGCTTGGAAGACTGTTTATGTTGTGAATTAGGACTTTTAGAGTTCTTCCAAGCTTTTCTTTAATGAAGTTTATAGTCCTTGGTTTTAGTCCTAGGTCCATGATCCACCTAGAGTTGGTTTTTTGTGTATGGAGTGAGGTGTGGATCTTGCTTGAGTCTTCTGAAGATAGTTTTCCAGTTTTGCCAACACTATTTGTTAAAAAGGCTGTCATTTCCCCACTTAACTGATTTCATCTCCTTGTCAAAAATCAGTTGACCGTACTTAGATGGGCTGATTTCCGAGTTCTCAATTCTATTCCATTGATCTATGTGTCTGTCATTGTACCAGTATCATGCTGTCTTAACCACCATGGCAGTGTAGTAGGATTAAAAATCAGGGAGTGAGATGCTTCCTACCTTTTTTCTATTTTTAAGGAGTGCTTTGCTTATTTGGGGCTTCTTTCCATTCCAGATGAAACTGGAGATTGCCTTTTTCCATTTCATTGAAGAATAGGATTGGTATTTGTATTGGGATTGCATTGAACGTGTAAATTACCTTTGGTAGTATTTCCATTTTCACAATTGAGTCTTCGTATCCATGAGCAAGGGATATTCTTCCACTTCTCCAGGTCTCTTTTTGTTTCTTGCAGTAATGTTTTGTAATTTTCTTTGTGCTTCTGGTTAGATTTACTCCCAAGTATTTAATCTTGTGATTGGCTATTGTGAAGGGTCTTGTTTTTCTTAGCTCCCACTCTGTATTCTCTTTGTCACTGTAGAGAAATCCAACTGATTTTTGTATGTTGATCTTGTATCCTGCTACTTTGCTGAATTGGTCCACTGTGTCCAATAGCTTTCTTGCTGAGTGTTTAGGGTTTTTTAAGTATACTATCATACATTTCTCAAAACTCATGAACTGTATAATACAATATAGTGATTCCTATTATAGGTAGATTTTGCCTCATTAAATCTTTTACTGGGGAAGAAGTTTTAGAAGAAAAACTAGATCTATATTGCTACTACAATAGTATTATCATGCATTACATTTTAGAGCCATTAGGGTTTTTAACTGTGAAACCACTGGATGAAAAAATAAATGAGATTTATTTTTTTAAGATAAAATACCATACAGAACTTTTTTCGGTTAATTACAGAGACACAGCTAAGTTCCTCTGAAACTCCTGAACTTGAAAGAGAAGTTTCCCCACCTGGCAGAGAAGCCTTGGATGAAATCAGAGAAATAATGGCAGATCAGGAGGTAAATATCCCTTCTGTGATTCCCCCCCTTCTTCCTCCCCTCCCTTCAACAGTGTTTCCTTTCTACTGGTATTTCTTTCTGGTATAATATTGACCTTGACTGAAAGGATTAAAGAGGCAGAGGATTATAGCATTTGGAGCACTTATCTCAGGAAAAGTTAGTAAAGATAAGTTCAGTGCTGTTTCTAACAGTAATGGCAGTTACTATTTCTTAAGTGCTTTTATTCTATTATTTTCATTACAATGGAAAATTGGGACTTCTGTTTAAGTAATTTTCTTAAATTTACATTGTTAATAATTGTAGAATTAGACTGTGACTACACATTTATCTCTGAAGACTGGAGTATTTTCTTTATGTACCACTAAGTAATAGGCACAATCTTGGGAAAAGCTACTATTTTTGTGTTATGATATAACATTTATCCCTAATTTCTTGACATGATTGAAAAATCAATAAAGACAACTGGATGATAATATGCAAATTTTCTCTTTGTATTATCGTTATACCTGTTGTCACATATCTGGCATCCACCAAAAAGCTGATAGAAGTTCATACTTCTGGTTAAGATTTACAGTGTGTATTTTTTATGTTGGCTCTGACAAAACAAATGACTCAGAATTATTTTGTTACATCTCAAAAATCTGTTATCCTGGGGAGAGGGAAAGGGGAATCTGTTTTTGTGAAAGGCCGCTTATGATTAACCAGTCTTTATGTACTGTTTTATCCTGAGCACATTATAAAGGCTTAATTCTCTCTGTTCGTTTTTTTTTTAAAATATATTCAAGCTTTTTGAAAACCGTTTGTACCATAGAGATTAGATCCCCTCCCTAGTCTCTTCTCTATAGGGAACTAGGTGGAAATTTTACTTTTATGAGTCATGCACACAGCTTAGTTTCTTGGAACCTAATCTGTTTCATGGCAGACCAAGATTGACTGATGCTAGTGGTGGTAGGAAGATGTAATACTCCTGCAACAGAGTAACTGAGGACAGATCTCACTAGATAACGTCAAGATAGCTTTTGAATCTTTTTCTGAGTGTGATCAGAATCTTCCAAATGGGGATAGGAGAACAGAATATTAACATACTCGTCTTGACAGGTAGAAAACCCCCTATAAACTTAATCAAGACTTATCTATCCATGACTGCAAAAGAGCATGGGCCCTGTTTTAGAGTTGATGGTGTATATGTCCACATTACTACATATCAGTTGGTGGAATTTTGTAGCCATTCTCATATTGATTGACTTTTTTCTTTCTTCATTGTAGCTAATGTTGTTGTTAGATGCCTTCAAATTGAATACAACTCTTAATGACCCTGTTGTTGTTAAGTGCCTTGGAGTTGTAAATGACTCATAGTGACCCTGTGAAACAAAGACCTAAACAATTGTATAACTTTCATTCTTTCTCCAAGTTCATAGGGTTTCCGGAGGGAAGCTATTTCGGAAGTGGATGCCACTCCTGCTTCCAAGCTTGTTTTAATTGGGGAGCTCCACCAAACACTGTCCACCATGGGTAACGATTATTGCATTTGACTCGCTGGTGTCACAGTGTTCAGCATCACAGCAACCATGAGTTACCTCTGTACAGCAAATGGGCAGACCAGGGCTATACCACTTAGAAGAATGTTTGACCAAAAACAATTAAAACTAGGCCCGAGGGCCCAACTGAATTTAAGAACCAAAGCATGGTTCAAACTCCATGAGCTCCATCATTCCACATTCCTCCATAACCAAGGATTCTCATTGGCTCTCCCTACCCAAAAACGCCCATCTGGGAACATTCCGTTGCTTCCCCAAACTCCTCCTATTCTGATGCCACATGTTTCTTCATACAGTCTAGTTTCTTGAATGATTTGTTCAGCATAGAGACTGAGTATACTTGAGGTACGGATACAGTCTTAATGCACATCTTCTTTTATTTTAATTCATTGTATATTCCCTTGCTTTGTTTGGGTAATAGCTTTTTTATTTAGATATTGGTTTCATATTGTTGTTAATTGCTGTTGAGTCATGCACGACTCATAGCAATTCAGTGAACAGAAGACCTGAAGCCTTTCATTACTATCATTTTTCCAAGTTCATAGAGTTTCCAACAGCATGTGGTGTAGGAAGCAGATGCCACTCCTGCTTCCCAACCTGTCTTAAAACTGGGAGCTCCACCAAACACTGTCTACCATGGGCAGCCATTATGGCATTTGAGAACCCAATGGTAAGAGGTTCGGCATCACAGCAAACCCAAATTACCTCAGCACAGCAAATTGACAAAATAGTGCTATATGACTTAGAAGAATGTTCCTCCAAAGTATAGTAGCAAAGGATTAAATGATAATCCTGCAGACCCGACTTATTAAATATAAGGGCTCTATGAACTTGGAGAAACGATAATAGTTATAGAAAGGCTTCAGGTCTTTTGTTCATAGGAGGTCGCTATGTCATACTCAACTCGGCAATCAGCAACAATAAAAACAACAAAAGTTTCTTCCAAACATCTGTAGAAAAGCTGTCATTTCTGGGCAAATGGAATGCAATACATAAGGGGCTGATTGTTGTTATGTGTCATTGAGTTGCTTGCGACTCATAGCGACACTATGCAAAAGAGCCCTTAACCTTCTTAGCGGCCCTAGGAACAAGAGATATAAACCCTTTTATTGTACATTGCTATTCCTTTCACTCCCCTTCTCTGATAGATACTAGAGTGTTTAAGTCATTATATAATCACTTTTTATTTTTAAGTTCCTTATTTGAAAGATGGAGTTAAGTATATTTAGATAATACCACAAAGAAAGACCCATCAAAATGCATCAGAAGATAAAACAACTATGAGATATGATCTCACCCCAGCAGCAATAGCAAAGTTCAACAGGGCAGCAAGCAATAAATGCTGGTGAGGTTGTGTAGAGATTGGAACTCTTATTTACTGCTAGTGGGAATGTAAAATGGTGCAGCCACTATGGATGGTGGTCTGGTGCTTTCTTTACAAGTTTTTCAAATAGAAATACCATTTGGCCCAGCATTTCCATTCCTGGGAATATACGCTAGAGAAACCAGAGTCAGGACTCAAACATGTATGCAATACCCCATATTTGTTGCTGCGTTATTCATATTCACAATAGCAAAGAGAAGGAAGCAACCTTAAGTGCCCATTAACAGATTAATGGATAGAAGAACTATGGTACATTCACACATTGAAAATCATTGAACTCAAAACAGCACAACAATGCACACCCATGTTTATTGTGGCTTTGTTCGCAATAGCAAAGAGCTGGAAACAACTGAAGTGCCCATCAACAAGCGAATGGATAGAGAAGCTCTGGTATAGTCAGTCACACAATGGAATACTATGCAGCATTGAAAAACAAGGAACTCATGCAAAATGGATGACCCTGGAGGACATTATGCTGAGTAAAATATCTCAGTCACAAAAGGACAAATATTGCCTAGGGCAACTGTTGTAAAACGGAACTGACATTGGGATTGAGGGAAGGCAGCGGAGGAGGGGAGGAATGATGTATACTGC